AAGTAACTAAGTAACTAATTACTTTTGGAAATAAGTAATCAGTAAAGTAACGGGATTACTTTTTGGGGGAAGTAATCAGTAATTAGTTACTGATGACTTTTTTCAAGTAACTTGACCAACACTGGTCACACATGCAGTAATAAAGAACTGAATGCATAAAGCAACAACGCTAAGCACACCAAACAAATAAAGAAGATAAAACTGTGTAGAGGGGCAGTATCTTTGCAGTACATTCACCCGTTAAATGAGTCACACACATTTCATAATAAATAATTAAATAAATGTAACCATATTTTCTGGCATCTCCATTGTACCATCTTAGAAATCTCCAGTTGTCAAAATCTCACTGGTTTTATATATTTTACACACACCTGAACCTCGTTAGTCTCGACCATCAAGAAATAAGAGCAAACAACAAAACCTGAATCAAGAAACAGGAAAAAGATTATTAATCTCATTTACAAACTCATTTGCACCACTAACTCCACCTCCACCCTCGTCTGCTTCAGGAAGGAAATAAATCATGTGCACCATATTTCAAGGTGCTGGTTTTCTACTGGTCACTATTAGCGCTCCCTCCTTTCTTGTACTGCGGCTGTTTTGCTGCTGCTTCTTAACAGAAGTAAAAATTTAAATTGACTTTCTTTCACTGCAGTTTTTTAAAACCTGTGTAACAGATTATTATACTGTAGCGAGGTTCTGTTCTCTGACCACAGAACCTCAGAAATAGAAGAGCAGGCGTGTTCACAGAGGCGCTGACTTCCTGTTCTCTGTTCAAACACAGACTGTGGTCACTGTGAGTTCAGACACTTCAGCCTGTCAGGATGTGGGTGAACATCTACTGCTGCCTGTTAGCTCTGAGCGGCCATGCCACAGCAGGTGGGACACTTTGCATTAATGTCTGATATACTTTATAGTTTTCACACATGTGCATTTGTGTTGGTATTTGTAGTTTCAGGGATTTCACACGATTATAGGAAACGAGTTCAAAGTGTGAAGCAGACACACGATCACAGGAAGTCGAGTTATGGTGTCAGTGTAGCTCAAACTAACAAACACTTCATGAAGACAAATTTCTATCGTAAATCCTTCATTTGTTTAACAAATTATTTTGACCAAAGAATTTTTATGAACAGTTTTTTATTTTAGTTTTTATAATGAAATATCATCATCATATCCTGACTATGATTATCTTTCTATCATCCTTTCAGATTTCTGTTTTCTTTGTAACTTTTATTTCCACACAGACATTTTATTTGCTCATTTTTTTTATTTGTTTTGCAGGTTTAACCCGGGAAGTAGTTACAGAGGGGACGCAGCTCGCTGTGCGCTGTCCTTACTATCTACAGGGTAAAGTGAGGTGGAGCAGAGAGAGTGGAGGAAGCACAGCTGACATACTCACTGTTGATGGAGACAGAAGTACAAAACACATCAGTGATCCACAGAAACGATACGATTCACAGGCTGACGGGTCTCTGATCATCCTCAGAGCTGCTCCCTCAGACTCTGGCAGATACTTCTGTAATAGTTACCTGGCAGAGGAGCTGACAGTGATCCCATCAGGTAACATCAAACTTTATTACCTTCCTGTTTAAAATCATGCATGTCTGCTGAAAATGTGATTTTTAGTCTTAAATGAGACCAGTGTGGTTGTTAGCACTGTGGCTAACCGTGGGGTCAGATCCACGGGCC